AAATGGAAAAAAATTTCCTAGTTCCATAGAAAATTTTGTATATCAAACAGGGCCTAAGAGTAATGCTTTCTGGACAAGTTCAAAGATAGAGATGGAATAATAAGATAATGTGACGGATAATAATTGAATGTTGTGATTTTATTTTTTTTCAAACTATCTAATCATGTATCGACACGTGTTCCTCATGTTTTTGAACATGTCTTTAAACCTATTTGTATAGCATGTTTGAAACTCCAATCTCATTTTTCCTCTCTCTATGCCGTCCAAATCTTTGACCACTGTCATAAGAGTCATGCTACACTTACTAAATTTTTTACCAAATCTTTTACACTTCAGTCACATTAGGGGTGGGGGTCCCCCGGCAATGTATCATTTTTTTTCCTGTCATAATGCATGAGGATGTAAAGTGGGATGAGCAGCTCACCATAATAAGTAAAATGTCATTTCAGTTAAAAAAAGGGAAAAAAATTTCAAGGAGAGAGACCGTGACATAATTGCGAAGCACACTTTAGTACAGCAAGTCGGCTCACATCACCCAATAAGCGAGAATGAGCTGGGCTTGGCAATTATGCTTGCCTCGTTCCATTAACACCCCTACTATGCATACACGAGAGGAAGAATGAGAAGATACGTCGATTTCTCATCCTCTCCTGCTTCGCTTTGCAATCAATTTTATTGTGTTTTTAAAAAAAAAATTAAAAATAAATAAGTAAATAGGATGATAACTAAGGATGTTTCAATTACAAGGTTGACATGATTTTGAAGGGTTCAAATGGGTCATAAAGGGTCTGCTTATTTACGAAGGACACAACTGATGGTTTTATTTTTATTTTTTCAAGTCAAACCGACACTATTAAAGTTATCAAAAAACTAGATGTACACTGACATTTGATGTGATTTAAAAGATGATTGAAAGGAAAATTGTTCATTTTTTTAAACTGTTCAATAGTGTGTTGCCACGTAGTACAATGTAAAAGATGATGTATAAGCAACATGATTGGTAAAGTTATGTCGTACTCATGTTACAATAAGTGTTATTTGACCTAAACTAAAGCCACCTATTTTGATTTTAACACTTGTTACTCCACTAATATTGAATAACCGATCAAGATTAAGTTATGGATCATAGGCAGTGTTCTAAAATGCGTTGCGATGCGTCGAGGTCGAGAATCAAGAATCACAAATTTAGGCGTGTCAATGCGAAGAATAAGCGCCATAATGCATTTTGTATTTTTAAGGCATTAAATATATTTTTATATAAAAAAAAAATTGCCAAAAAATAAATATATATTTTTGTTCTAAAATGCGCGGACAATGCGCACATAATGCGGGACAATGCGCGCCTATGTGCGTGCATTTTCGAACAAAAAACCCAAAAACGCATTTTCCGCGCATTTCCCGAATTCGATGCGTTTTTCCCACGAGTCGCGCTTAGGCGGCGCATTTGCGCGCCTTTTACAACACTGATCATCGGACATGTATATGTTAAAATTATATTTCATCTAATAAATTTACATTTATAATTTAACTTTTGCCAAACAAGCTATAAGTTCGACGATTCTCCACCTAGAGTCAAATAGCCCAACGAAACTCCAATATTCGGAAAAAAAAACATATGTGGCTAGAGCTTCATTTTCGAGGTTCTTTCTTTAGATGTAGTTGTAAGGAGTAATTACGGGTTCATGGGTGCGGGAATAATGCTGATACCTGCAAGTTCAAAGAGGATATTGGCCAGTTTTCCTTTGCAGCTGCGGAAGCCATTGCACTTTGGTAAGGCGTCAAGCTTTGCAAAAACACTTTGGAGCTGCAAATGTGACACTATTAGAATTATTTATGATTTGAAGTCGACTAATGTATTTATGCCAAACGCTTGAATACGTAATAATATTGTAGCTCTTCTCATTCTCAAGGATGTTCGCTTTATAATTAGAAATAAGAACAAAACAATTCACATTCTTGGTTTGAGCGTATAACCGTATGAATAGATTTTTGTTCAAGAATGAAATCTTATTGGAACTGTCCATATCCGGTTCATCCTTTGAAACCTATCACACCCTGGATATGATGAAATAGTATAAATTGAGACAATATTTTGTAAATAATACATAATTATCATGAATATACTATTTTTTTCATTTTTCGATTGCCTGGAAGGGATAAAAGAAAGATCTTGTTGTTTGTTCAACAATTTCAAATCTCTAATGGACATCTCAGTAGGATTTGAACAGTCATTAAACCTCGATGGGCATCTAAAAAAGTCCAAATTGATAATCTATCATGAGCCCCTCTTCCTCACATTTTTTATTAGTGAGATAGGGCCCTCGTGTTGAAATTAGAATATATTTGGAGCATCAAAGTAGACCCTTATTTCATTCATTCCTTTGTTAGGAATAGTCGAGTCATAGGGTAGCTCGATAGCTTAGAAGCCATCCTTTACTACTACTTTCGAGTTGATATGAGTTAGATCAAATACATTTCAATCTTTATTTCGTCGATGGTTTGTGATAATTATGTTAATGGAAAAGCCATATTTTAAAGTAAAAAGAAGAAGAAAATTCAACAATTAGATTTTCCTCACATTTCTTTATAAAGTTCATTATCAATCATCAATACCGTCGTAAGTGATTATGTAAATAAAAATTAAGGTAGAACTGTTCTATCTTTTATGAAAGTATTTTGGAATCTCTCACCTTCATAACCGAAGTTTTGGATTCCAATTGGCATCTAAATCCTTACGTGACGAAAAATGTCAATGTGAACAATTGAATGTTAAATCTGATGCGATTTTCACACAATTTAAAATGAACTTCAAGCAATTTGACAATTTTGTCGTCCAACTTTAAATCGTGTGATAGTCGAGTATTCTAACGTTCATATTGACCTCTGCCGTCGGCCCCAACTTCACATATTTTGCATAGTGGAAACCGTAAGCTCACTTTTAAAGATTGAGGGAGGTGAGCTCACTAATTTTCTAGATTTTTTATCTGCACATATATTATCAAAATATTGCCTCTTAAATCAAATAAATTAAAAAATGAATACATTATTTTTTACTGTAATAAATTGAAGTAGCTAGTAGCAATTTATTCCTATTTTGGTACACGTGAAAGACAGGCACATTATTGGCAGCTGGAAACCCTCCCCTCTGTTCCCTTTTGAATGTATTCAAATTACCATTTTCTTTCCTCACCACTCTCCTCCTCTCCTCTCATGACTTCCACCACCGCCGCCCCCAAACCGCCTCGGCCATGGTGGCATTTACTGCCCCTCACAACCATCATTCTCTTCTTGTTGGGTTCTCAGATCTGTGCTGTTTCAGCAGCAGAAAATGGCATTGATTTGAGTCTAAAGAAACTCAAATTTGAAAACCCAAGTCTTGCACAAGCCTACACTGCATTACAAGCATGGAAACTAGCCATTTTCTCTGATCCATTCAACTTCACTGCAAACTGGATAGGCCCTAATGTTTGCTCCTATGGAGGAGTGTATTGTGCAGCATCTACGCGCAATGCATCGTACAACGTTGTGGCTGGTATTGATCTCAACCACGGTGACATAGCCGGGTACCTCCCGGATGAGCTCGGGTTATTAACCGATCTTGCGCTCTTCCACATTAACTCTAACCGGTTTTGTGGCGTAGTCCCCGGGAGTTTCAACAAATTGAAGCTCCTTTTTGAGCTCGATCTTAGTAACAATCGCTTTGTAGGGGGTTTTCCTGAAGTAGTACTCTCATTGCCTTCATTGAAATTCTTGGACTTGAGGTTCAATGAATTCGAGGGCCCTGTCCCGAACAGGCTTTTCGACAAGGAGTTGGATGCGGTTTTTCTTAACGATAATAGGTTCCGGTTTGGCATACCAGAGAATCTCGGGAATTCGCCCGTGTCTGTTTTAGTGTTGGCCAATAATAACCTCGGAGGTTGTATACCAGGCAGCATTGGTAAAATGGAGAATACTTTGAATGAGCTGATATTGTTGAATGATAATTTAACTGGCTGCTTGCCTCCACAGATGGGAATGCTGAGAAATCTAACTGTGTTTGATGTTAGTTTTAACAACCTCCAAGGTCCTTTGCCATCGGAGATTAGTCAAATGAGGAGCCTCGAGCAGCTAGATGTGGCACACAACCGCCTCACGGGGGAGGTGCCGGCTGCCGTCTGCCAGCTTCCCAGGCTGCAAAACTTCACGTATTCGTTCAATTACTTCACCAAAGAGGCACCACAATGCGCGAGATTTGGGGGCGGAAAAGTGTCAGATGGGCGAAAGAATTGTATTTCAGGAAAGAATGATCAAAGGTCTGTTAAAGAGTGTTCTGGTGATGATGCTAAGCCATTTGATTGTAGCAAGTCGAAGTGCGGCGGCGGTGCACCAAAGCCAATCAGAAGGCCACCGGTTTCACAAAAGCCACCATCGCCAAAGCCAGGTAACGGGCCGCAGCCGTTTAATACGCCACCACCACCTACATCAAGGTCTTCACCAAGTACAAAATCACACCCTCCACCTCCAACGAAGTCCTTCAACGCGCCGCCATCTCCTCCGCCACCCACCCACAAAGTGTCTCCGGGGACTCATCTGTGGCCACCACCTCCCCCAGTTCAGCATGAGAAACCCTCTAAGCATGCACATCCACCATCACCACCACCACCAACTTATGAACTTGTGACACCATCGCCGCCATTCCCGTCTCCTCCACCACCAGTGTCCTTTGAGCCCACTACTCCGCCACCCCCACAGCCTCAGAGCTCAACTCCACCGCCCCCACCACCAACACCAACACATTATGGTTACACTCCGCCACCGCCTGAGAGCTCAACTCCTACCTATCAACCTAAATCACCTCCACCGCCACCAACTCATCACGGTTACCTTCCTTCTCCACCGCCGGAACACCAGCATTCAATTCCACCAGCTCCGTCACCATCAGGGTATTCCCCATCACATCCTCATTCCCCACCATCACCCTCCGGCGGCTGCTATGAACCACCCCCAGCGCCACCAACATATGCACATTCATCACCCCCACCATACGCCCACTCATCGCCTCCGCCACCCTCTCCACCACCGCCACATTACGTTTACTCATCCCCTCCGCCACCCTATCCATCACCACCACCGCCACATTACGTGTATTCGTCACCTCCGCCACCCTATCCATCGCCACCTCCACCGCCAGTGTTCAAAAACATTCCACTACCACCCATAAGAGGAGTCTCCTACGCATCTCCTCCACCCCCTGCCATTCCATACTACTGATCCTCTTCAAATAGAGGGGCTACCAGTTCAAGAATCACTAGTATAGTTTTGTTTTTCATTTTTATTAATATTTCTGCTCTCAATTTTCACCTTTATTATGTACGAGAATGGGTTGACTATAATGGAATTTAACAATCACTTTTTGTTAATTTTATACTAGTTTTTATTGTGTATGATTCAAACATAGTAAACCTAGAAGTCCCAAATTGGTTGGCCTCTTTGAACATTTTCAAGGACATGTTCATGCCCTACCTTAACAAGGACACAATTCTACCCAAAAGCACTAATAAATACATTCAAATGTCCTATTCTGTACACTTGCAATTGAGACACTCGCATCTATAGAGCCCGGTACTTTCAAACCACAAGGACAAACTCGGGGTCGGTCTTGCTTACATGCATGCAACATAATCATCTCCTCGTGCTAGCCACTCACTATATACCACCCTTGAGCTCACGGCTTAGCATGGTACCATTCTTTTGCACCTCTTCCATGCCAAGGCAACAGGCGATAGATGACATTCTTTGCCACATGATGTATCGTCATCCTTGTCATATCATTTTCCTTCACACAATGTGTCAACATCTTGACATATAACATATAAATGGTAATGTACATGATGCCGAGCATGTTTGGTGAAGTTTTTTTTTCTACTTATAAGCTTATTAGACATCATTTTTATCCACATATTTCGAAATATTCGCAACTTGTATTCACTTTTCATCCACACATTTTGAATGACCCACAACTTACAATGGAAAAAAAATGAGAAAGGCTTTACAACAAATATACACGCCAACTCCTCTTATCTTGTGTAATTCTCATTTGGCATAATTGCTAAGTAAATAATTAAAACAAATTTCATTAATGCAATTTGGAAAGTACACTTCATACAGATTCTGGATCTTCCTGTTTTGAAAATTGAAATGTAAGATGATAAGCTTCGAATAGCTGCATACCACATAATTTAAGGTAACTTCCTCAAGTTCATGCCCGTGTGTGGGTGTCGTAGTTTGCCAGAATTAAAGCAGTTTTGATAGTCGAAAACTTGCTTCCTCCTGTGAATTCACAGCACATTTGGGAGCAGAATATTACATTTGAATCCTGGAGTCAAAAAATTCGGCTTGATTTCAAGCTTACAAGGATATTTCTGTCTAGCTAACCCCCACAACAAGAATGGTATACGAATATGAAAGTGCCCATGATTGTATGAGATACCTAAGACTATCCATAAATATGAATACGCAATATCCAAGATATGTGGCTCTTATGCGGATTTCAGACGACCAGCTTTTGCTAAAGAAAAACATATAGCATGTTTTGTTGAGAAAGAATTATCGACGGAAGTGAATATTTACAACTGCTGGCTGAAAAAACATTGTCTGTTGGATGGATATTGCTAGAGGCAAAACTGGATGAAAGAGAAACGAGCAGATTTTTTTGGTTCGGCAATCAGAGGTTCCAGCTTCAGGTCCTTTAAATTCATCCGAATCAAAAGTCAGTTTACAAGCTCAAAACAACCAGGGGGGGGGGGGGGGGGGGGGGGGNGGAGGGGGGTTGGAATTTCACTTGTATAGAGGGTACCTGGTTTAATCTTGAATTTGAGAATATTCTGTTGCCTCCTTGAAATGAATTTAATGGGATGGTCAGCAGACTGTCTATGTCGGTCAGTTGCTGAAATCAGCTGTTGATAATATAGACATATGAGAAAAAATAACAATGGCAGATTGACGTGTGCCAAAAATTGAAGCGGGAGGTAAAAGTACGTTAAACAGTCCACAACTTAATACCCATTTTTTATCCATACGTTCTGTGAGACCTACTGCTTAAATTATATTTTGGACACTCCCAAACAAGCACTTAGAATGCAAAAGAATGTAAGGAATATAGAGTCAAACCTTTTCATCATATCGGAACAGGGATTGGTCAAAGTAGGGGGAAGGACTCTGAGACTGACAATTAAAAGGCAAATTGACTAACATCTTCTTCACAAACTGCAAGATTGAAAAACCCATGGCATGATTGGGAAATCATATTGAAATTCTTATGCCAATTAAAAATTGTAAGATAATAAGATAGAAAGCATCATAACAACTAATTCGAATTAAATATGATTGATCAATTATAAATAATACCAGAGGAAAGCTGGTAACTTTATTTTTATTGCTCCTTAGCTGCTCCAGGGCATGGATGTTATTTGAATGACTTGATATGAAATTCATGTAAAGTGATGAATTCTTTGACGATGAATGAAAGTGGTCACAGAACAGTTCAAACAATGAATAAAGCTCCTCCGCTGAGTTCTACAAAAGATTAATATGGAATCATTCATATGCTTAATTGGGTCAAGGATCGTCTCCAAATCAATTACTTCCAATATAATCATCCACTATTTTAATGTCGACACTTGTGATATTCAACTTCAAGTGCTCTAACATCAGTGGATCGCAAGTGATTGGAAGGAACCAAAACCATTAAAGAAATCCTAGGCAGTACTCTAAATGCGAAAAATTGAATATCTTAGAATAACAATTACAGACACCTGATAAAATGAAATAATTTCAGCAGTCTCCATGTTATATACAGCAAAAAAGGCAGGATGATTATCTGCATTTCGTGCCACCTGTAGCTCAGAAAAAAAGGGTAAAACAAATATAGCTCAATTAGTTTCACTTATTGTACAAACTTTCAATTAATAATACAAAATTTTGGGTATAAACGAAAGAAAATAGCATAGCTGATCCTTCATGTCAAAACTATTAACATGGTTTAGTTGGACCATTCAATGGTCAGGCCAAGTCATAGAACTATATAACATTGCTAACTTTGTTGATTAACAGTAAACCACTGACATCCCCAGAATCATCAAGAGTAAAACACATTGTCCAGATTCTACATGTTGTCCAATAACAAAAAATTCCAGTCAGATGAAAGAAATAAATAGAACTTTGGAAGCTGAATCAAGATACGTTATCAAAGAAGTTAGACGAATGCATCGTCAGAAGGCTTGTGTTAGAACGGACAGAAAAAAAAATGTTGTACCTAAGCCACAAATTCAGTCATATCCACAGTAACAAGAATCCTCAATCTACTAGATTGGCCTCACATGAGACGTTTAGCAAAGCTTTAATGAACATTAGAAATTGAGGAAACAAGTGTCAAAGGTAATATCAAAGAAGCGTAATAGGGAAAAACGAAAAATGAAGATATGAGTATTTCTTAAACAAATAAGGACAGTGTTTCATAAATAGCAACTCATAATAAGCTGCAAAGACAAAATTATACTCATTCAATGGTTTGGGTTCTATTCAATGAATACGAGGAAGAAATGATATTCTAGATAAAAGTAATTCAATTGGCAAGTAAATACACAATTATAATGTGTGATGTGCGAGTTATAAACTAATTACAACATGAAGCTAAGCTAAGTCTTATTCCCAATAAACTTGAGGTTGGTAAATAAATTATTTTAAGCATTTTGTTCGTTCTGGTATTACATCTAAAAAGGTGTAATGAAATCAAATTAAATCTTTTGCAACCATGTCAAGTCACGTTTTAAAGTTTTCTATTAGGGTCACATCACTCATGTGAGCGATGTTTGAAGTCTCTAGTAAATGTGCCCCACCATTTCAAGTCACCCCCTCCTAACTTATTCTAAATTGCCGTCACCTCTATTTGTGAATATATATTTCCATTGCTTACTAATAGTTTTTAATATGGTCACACCCATCTTAATATCTTTGTTTGTACTAAAGAGAATCACGTTGTCTTTGATAAAAAAATCATTTTTCTATCCAATCAAAGTCAAACATTAATTTCAACCATACATTCATAACTACTACCCATTTATTATCCACACATTTCATGTAACCCATTACCATTCCTCCTAAAAAGTTCCTAATAATTTTGCACAAACAAATGCATATTATGCCTGTTAATAATAAAATTACCCACCTCACCTAGACACTTACCAACTTCAATAGGGGTTCAATCCACAACATATGATTTTCTCATCTTTCTTCTTGATAGTATCCCTCACTTCTGAAACACAGATCCTTCTAATGTAGTTGTTATTTGCATCTTTGAAACAGTTCAAGTTGTGTTATGCCTTCCATTAAATGATTTGTTAAAATAACTATTGCCTCCAATGGATAAGCATGATACATTTGAGTTGTAGCCAAAACCTAAACAATAATAATGCTAGGTCTTCATGGTCTTTACATCTCCTACAGCTATTTAAGATTAATTAACAAATTAAAAAAGTAAGGTACCCACACTCAAATGCCACTAACATACATAGAGATAAATAAGAGAAGTTGGTCCAAGAATTATTGAGAAGGTAAGAAACCTACCCCACCATCAACACTGCCAAACTTGATCAACAGGTGATGTCGGTCCAAGAATTGCACCTATGCATAATTATAAACCATGGGTCAAAAGAGTTATGTTGGTTTAGGGAAGTACAAAATGCAAAAGAGTTTTAAGATGAAAAAACGTAACCCTATATTCTGATTTCTAGAGAGGTATCATATTCTTTAAGAATTCAATAAGTTAGACCTCTACCTTCCAGATGATCAAATCAACATAATCTTGGAAATGGAAATAAAACTTCTTCTTCAGGCATTGCATTCTCTGGTTCAACAGAAAAGTAACATTATGCAAAGGAATCAATATGGGAAATTATAATTTTCAGAAAACAGGCAATCATGTTACGCTGCATTTTGACATGTCTATGATTCCTGGTCATTTAATTTTTTTTGTGTGTAATGGCTATGTCTACTACGACAGTGAATTGTTTGAGAGGCTAGAAATGGAAAGGGCGAAGGATGGTTGTCAAAAAGGCATAGAAAATGACCACTGCACTTGATGTTCGCTTTGTGGAGTGAAAAAGACACGAGTGCTTTGGTGGGGTTGGAAATCCTGCAGGAGAATCTGAAGCTTCTTATTTTTGTTTTTTTGGAGTATGCAAACCTACGAAGCACAGTATGGATACGGCTAT